ATAAATTTTAAAAATTTATATATTTTATTTTAATTATTTATTTAATTAATAAATTTTAAAAATTTATTTTTTATGTTATTTTTCATAAATCATTTAATTAAATAAAAACATTATTTTTTTTCTTTTTCTTTTTTATTTATTCAAACAAAACTAATATTAACTTTTCTTTCTTTTCAATTCTCCTGTTTTCCTTCTCCTCTCTTTCACTTCATTTTTTTTACTTATTTTTATCCAAACATAATTTCGGAGTGAGGATTTGAAACCCAACCCTTACGATGAAAGTATACATACTACATAACATGACTTATAATCATTGAACTAAAAGATCAGGCGCAACACTCCCTTATTTGAACTACACCATACGGTTTGATAGGCTGCGCGCCTCAATGAGAGGAGTAGGAGACCACCTGTTCTGGGATCGAATTTTCAGTTACTAACAATTCCTAACATAACTTATAACTATTATCCTTGTCAAAAAAAATAAAACCACTCCCTTGTTCTTCTGTTAATCATGTTGGACAACTCTCATACTTACTGGTTTCCTCCATTCCACATCTTTATCAATTAGTCAATAGGAATACTTTGAATTCTTTCTTAGGAAAATGTGCTCCATCTGAACCGTCAGCTTCAGAGCGGTGGTACATGGAAAGTGATGGTCAATACTTAACCCAGGAATTAGGCAAAGAAAAGGAAACTTACTTGTAAATACTAAACACAGCCTAGTCTATGGAATTGAATGTTTCATTGATCTTTTTGATTCAGTTCTCATTTCTCAATTATGATAAAGAAAGAGAGGAAAGCGGATTGAGCAAGTTAAGCATATGTGTCATTTTCTAAGGTTTCCTGTGCCACCAAGATTTCAGAGGACAGGTTCTTTCTCTGTCCTTAAAAGTCATTGGACCGTCATTCGTGCCAAGAAGAAGATTAAGAAGATGCCAATCAATAGATGACAGACAACCTTGTCTAATGCCTGCCAAAACTTAAGTAAAAGCTATGGTTGATTCAAGAACCATAGTCATTGGACTTAGCTAGTTCTTATCCCAAAGCTATTACCTCTTAGATTTTCAGAAGAAAAACCCAGAAGGATTCTCTTCTTCTTTGCCTTTAAAACTGCCTTTATTTAGTCTACCATACCCATTTGTCCTTTTACAGTTAGCTTTCTTGCCGCCAAAACTGACAATTTGTAAATGTGACACAAAATCCTTTACTTGGTAGTGTTACGTTACTGTGGACCCCCATCAATGCAAATTCCAAATAGCAAGAAAACGAAGCGTCTTCTTTCTCCCACACCTCTCTCCTTTCATCTTCAATCTCCATCCATTCATGGCCCCTCCTTCCTGCTGTTTACCATGAGTCCCCCTAAGGGATTGATTAAGATTCCACATGCACTGAATTTCTGCTTTCTTAAACTTATTTTATTGGAACTTGAGGGTTTGGTTCTGTTTTGTTCTATGCAATTTTATCTTGGTTGGGTGTCTTCAAACTGGAATTGATGTGTAGATGATGGAAGCTAGAATGAATTTGATCCCTTCTGTAATTGGATTTGGAATGAGTGCTACTTTTATTGTGTTTATTTGCACAAGAATAATCTGTAGGAGGATCCGAAGAGAAGCGTCTGGGCCAATGTTCGAGATTGAGTCCAGAATGGATCTTGAACAGGTATGTACATATCATCTCTTTTGGTTTTCTCTTTTGATATCCTAACCCTTGCTCACTTTACTTGATCCTATTTATACCTTAAAACATCAGTTTCAATAATCCCATAAATTTTCATGCTCTATAATTGTGGATAGAAATAGAATTCCGCATCAGTATCTGATAATTTTGAGGTTTGGGTTTACTTATTAGCCTTTTCCTGGCAGCCAGAGCAACAGATTCAAGGCCTGGAACCAGTTCTAGTTGCTGCAATACCCACCATGAGATTCAACCGGGAGGCTTTCAGTTCCTTAGAAGATGCTCAGTAAGTTCAGTCATCCATGATCCATCCGTATGATTTTTTGTACAATAACTGATGTCTATGATATACGTGTTGATCTTCATTTAGATGTTCAATATGTTTGGGGGAGTACGAAGAGAAAGAAGAGCTAAGAATCATGCCCAAATGCGGCCACAATTTCCACCTTGCTTGCATCGATGTGTGGCTGACAAAACAGTCCACTTGTCCAGTTTGCCGTTTCCCTTTACACAACTCATTCTCATCAGCAGAGGTTGATTCCAGGACCTGAGAGTCCTGTACAACATGAAACTAGCTAGCCAAGTATCCATGCATCCTGATTCAATCTGTCACTGGAGATCAGACAGAAAGAAGACAATATATTGATGCAGCCAAGAGCAATGTATTATATGAGTTTGCTTCTTACAATTTACATCCAATTCATCTAACACTACATGCCCGTGAGCATAACTCCTTTTTTGTACATAAATATCATTTCCAGTATATGAAATATGTAATAAAGAACAAACAGGCTGGTAGAGGATTTGAGCCTTGAGTAAGCATGCATCAACTCTGTTTTTCACTAAGGTCGACCAAGTCATATGTTGTTATCATCGATGGAAAGAAGGTTAAATTTGCTAACCAACGTTGATTACTTGACAAAAGGCAGGCATACTTCTGTAGCCTTAAGGGGACATGTTTCCTTATCCTTTAAACCTCGGATTCTTCCATGCATGAATGTGATAACGAAGAACAATAAGCTAAATTAGTATGCTAAATTATGATAATTATATATACTCTAATTATCATCATTTTGTCGCAATAATCTTGTTTCATCATTGGCCAATAAGAACAACGCGTACAAGTGGCATGTCATTCCACATGTGTCTTATACCCAATACTCAACAAAAACCCTTTCTTCCTCCTCTGAGGAATGAGGGTTTTGAGAATCAAAGGCCGCACTACACAAGATTATGGTCTTAATCCAAGGGCCCTAGATGATGGATGTACCACATTAAGACAAATTATTATGTATTAATTTTTTTTGAATAATTTGTAATTATTTACAGAATTAATTGGAGAGAGGGGAAAGGGATTCCGTGGAACTCGAACGTGCAACCCACTGTATGTGAACAATCCTAATTCAGGATCCAATGCTACTGGATCGGAGCGGGCTGTTCAATTATTATGTATTAATTTTTTTTTGAATAATTTATAATTATTTACAAGGTTAATTGGGAAAGGAGAGAAAGAGATTTCGTAGGGTTCGAACGTGCAACCTTACTATTGGAGGTAAACAGCCTTAACTCAGAGTTCAATGTCACTGGGTCGGAACGGGTCCTTCAATTATTATGTATTAATTAATTCTTAATTTTTTGAATTACGTATATGTATATTATTATTATTATTATTAACTTATTGTCCTATATAAAGCCATAAAATTGGATCATTATATAAATAAATCATGGGCAAGTGGGTTAGGAAAATACAACCAGCAGAAAGGACAGGTGTGAGGAGTTATGGACCCCATAAATCATTACATCAACAAGCGCTAAATGACATCCACGTCACTGTTAAATTAAATTAAACTCTCCCGCCGGATTTTATAATTCCAATCCAACGTTCCAAATCCGTTCTTCATTTAACAACCAGACAAAATCGGATCGTCTTCCTTCTGTCTCCTTCTCTCCTGTTATTTTCTTCCATCATTGAGTCGATTTGAATCAGCTTTATTTAGCTAATTAGCCCTAGCTTCAATATATTTATAATATCAATATATTTATATATATATAGGATCAATGTTTATTTATTTTATTTTTAAAAAAAATTTTAAAAAAATTAACACTACGTTGTTTCAATAAAATACTATAAAAAAATAAAAAATAGTTTAATTTGTGTTTTAAAAA